CAAAAGGGCATAATTGTTGTAGTGCTTGTAGTATTTCAAAACAATGATTTTTAGGTACTTTATTTTTTCCTTTCATTTTTAAGTTTTATTTTTTATTTTATTATTTCATAATTTATGTTCATCTTATGGTGATTCAAAACCTTAAGGTTCTAGGTGTTTAACTTTTTTTTCCTCTCATTTTTAAGTTTTTAATTTGTTATCTTAAATTTAAAATGTTATCACTTAAAATACTATTAATATATACTTCTTCAAGAAAAAAAAAATAATGTGTGTGGGATTCAAACTTTACATTTTGTAGTAGAGTTAGGTGTGCAAATAGTTTTAGGACAAGTTTACTACCACTTAGTGAATTTTTATTTATTTTTTTTCGTGCTTATTGTCGTTTGCATTTTACATGATAAGAACTTCAATTATAACTAAATACGTGCATCACAAGTGCCAAAAACTAGTTTTATGCTAAATAAGAATGGGATCTTTTCACAATTGAAAAGGATGAGATGTTAAGAGGAGTTTCTTCATCTGGATTATACGATTTGGGTACGTTAGTTTTTGAAATGTGAGTGCATGCACGTAGAATTCCAAGTCACTGCCAAAAGACAAGCACACGCAAACCATGAATTTTTTTTTAAGCATGCTTTAATCTGTCAATAAATGTTATACACATCAAGTTTTACTCTATATTTGTTCAACCTTGCCCATTTGAATTTTATGCTTTTGTTCCCTTTGTCAATTTTATTAAATTTGTACTTGGGTTATTGGAAACAGTTATGGGAAACAATGGGCTACCTTTAGTTTCTTATATTGTATTCTATTGTGTCATAATGTCAATACGGTGTTTGGTCCCGTAAAATATTAAAATTTTAATAATCTAATACAATGTTTGGTCATTAAAAAATTGTAATATACAATATTATTTATTTGTACAAGATTAATATAATTATTTAGGCTTTCCATCTCAGTCTCTTCCTAACTCCAACCCTAGGATTTGGCCGGCCCGGCCCAATGCCAGCTTTGGCTGGACGCTAACCTCGGTTACAACCCAAATTAACCTTGACTCTAGGCCAACCCGACCCAAGTCATAGTCCTTGTCGGATACCAGTCTTGGCCCGACAACCCTATATTTGTGCCCTTTTTTCATCCTAAACTTGACAGCGCAAGGTTCAATTCCAACTTCAAGCCCAGATCACTCTCGACCTTAGTCTCGGTGCAACCTCGACAATAGACTCTAGTCAATCCCAACCCTAGGCATCGCCCCAACTCTAACACGGAACCTCACCCTGACACTAATCACGACTTGACATCGGTCCCGACCCTTACAATAGGCCTAGTCATGACCAGACACCAATTCCGACCTAATTGTGCCTTGTCCAGTCCCAGAATTGGCCTTTTCTCTGTCTTTGTTCTAACCCCGACCGTGATCCTAACCGAAGCCTCATCCAATATCATCCCCGACTTGACTCGTACGTTGACCTAGAACGAGATAAGTAAAATGAAAGAAAATGAAAAACGGGAATGCATATAAAATAAAATATTATAACATAGTAGACTGAAAGTCAATTGTATTAGATAATATACAAAACGTTGAAATGTATTACTTTGCAAAATGTATCAACTTATACAGTACAAATGCAATACAATTCTCTATTACGACCTACCAAACACGCCTTAAAAGTTTTTGGTTTTAAGGTACGGAGTGTTTCTTGCAATTGAAAAGGATGATATATTAAGAGGGGTTTCTTCATCAAGATCATACGATTTGGATACGTAAATACCCGTGTATGCAAGTAACATTCCATGTCACTGCAAAAAGAGAAGCACATGTTAGAAGGCAAAAAAAAAAAAAAAAAAACACATTTTCAAACATGTTTTAACCTGTGAATAAATGATGATATACAAATCAAGTTGTACAGTGTGTGTATACATATATGACATATTTGCCCAACCTTTGGCCCATTTGATGCACGCCAATCAAATAGCCGTCAAAGATGATCTCTAGATCACTTTTAAAAAATCATTAATGTCTCGTTCATTCTATCGATTCGAGTTTTCAGTTTTAGATTTTTAAAGTTAAAAACTCTCAGAAAATATCACATTTAATTTTTTTTCTTCTACAGTTAAAAATTATCAGAAAATATCACATCTCAACTCGAATTGAAAACTCGAATTTACGATGCGAATGAGGCCCGAGTTAATTTGTTATCCTTGCATTTCTTTAGGGGAAAAAAGATTAGTACTTACTGAAAGCATAGGTGACTCTCTTCTTATCTGGAGTGAGAAATTTAGTTGGTCTTACAATCCTTGCAGGTCCACAAGGGTATCCAGGCCCTGGCGCTTTGAGAGTGAAATTCTTCGGCAATTTGACGGTTCTATTACTATTCCCTGCAACACCCACACTGACTTGGAACGAGCTCGCCGCGTTGGCTGGATCGCGGAACCAAGAGTTGAGGACTCCCCCTTTGCAGCAATTTTCAATCTGTTGGTTAAAAGGAGTTCCCGGCAACAAATCGACGACGATCGGTTTCTTTTTGCAGCTATGCGGGATGTTCTCTATGAATCTCGAACAATCCCCTTGCTCTGTCGTCTGTGCTCCCAGCATGCTCCAGATTACTTCCTTCTCCGCCCATGTCCATCCCAACGTCCAACCCGGAGCCTTAATTTCGCGATTGTGCTGGAAGTTGTAGATTGTAACAACAGCCTGCCAATCAAAACATATTACGGGCCTGTTTAGTTTGCTGATTCGAGTTGAGATGTGACTTCATATGAGAGTTTTTTACTGTAATTTTTACTGTAGTAAAAAAGTTAGATGTGACTGTTTCTAAGAGTTTTTTACTGTAACAAAACTTGAATTCTAAACGCGAATCGGTAAAATGAACAGGGAAAAACGTGCGTTTGAAACCGCATTTTAAAAGAGGTTACCAGGTTAAAATAATTTTCAAATTTTACTAATACTCAATAAAAATGTTAGAATAAGTAAGAGATAATTACACTACATAGCAGAATTTCATAACTTAATAAGCCAAAATGATCTTCGCATAGTGGTTTTGATAGAAAATTATTCTTAAAAGGTAAAACTCTTTTGGCATATCACCTAAACATTTTCATAAACAATTTTTAAATTTAAGAAGTCAAAAGCAATTTTAGGTCATGTTCATTTCACTCATTCGAGTTTTACTACAGTAAAAAGCTCTAAAAAACAGTAACATCTAACTTTTTTGCTACAGTAAAAAGTTCTCACATAAAATCACATCTTAACTCGAATTTAAAACTCGAATCAGCGAACTAAACGGGCCCTTAAAAAGTCAGGCCATTCAGGCCTTATATCACATACAAAATTCGAATATCATTTCCATAATATGAGTAAGAGTAACTATGAAGTACCCACTAAAGTTAAGAGAGCGGTTGGGTGCGGGAGCGTGTGTGTGCATTTACCATAGTTCCAATCTCAATGATTTCATTTGTATTAAAAGAAGGGATGTTTTTATTTTTTTACCTGTGTTTTAAGTTTATTCAAAATCTATATCTTTGACTTTTGATATAATCAAACGTATACTTTTAAATTAGATAATCTATACTTTATTTCGATAAATAATTGATTTTGATCTTTAAAATGACCAAACTATCTTTAAGAAAAAAAGAAAAAAAAAACTAAAACCTTATATTTCAAAAACTAAAATGAAAAACACAAAAAAAAAAAAAAAACTTAATTCAATGGCATTTTGCATATTTTGAGATCAAAACTGTATTTTGAAGTTTTTTAGTTTTTTTTTTCTTTTGCTATTTTTTTATTCAAGTGTATTTTAATTATTTTTATGGTTAAAATTGTGGATTGATTATGGAAAGGTATATATTTGTATATTAAATTTAATTTAAAGGTATACATTTAATGAGACTAAATGGTGAAGGCATAATTTTTTAAAAAACCTAAAATATAAGGTATAAAAAAGTAAATATCCCTAAAAAGAAAGGATTAAGAGAGAAGGAAAGCTAACTATAAATTGAAAAGTGGTCTTTATGTTAAATTTTCAAGTTCTTAGGCTGAATTGATATCGATCATCGCCTACTTAGTAAACATTTATATTTACCACATAGCCATCTGGAGTCCAGCTCATTACATCCCATTTGATTGTGATATTTCCTGTTGGATCACGTACATCGTATGCATCTGCAGGAAAAATAACAAGAAAAATAAGAAAACCAACAATTGAAGCCAAAATAATTTCAATTTTTAAGATAAACAACAGGTTTATGGTATGCACAATTTTTTAGTGGAAGTTAAGATTCCAGTCAATATCAGGCTTTTTTTTTCTGGATCTGTATACTGATATCAGTGGCATGGGATTGGGGTTATATTACACTAGTAGAAATATAAGATTTAACGACGGTTAAAAACCATCGTTAAAAGATTAGATGACAGTTATGAAAACCGTCGTCTAATCGAGTTTCGTTAGATATATATGCACTTTAACAACGGTTTTTATCTATCGTCTAATATGGGCGTGAAAATTTAGCAACAACACATTTAACGATAGTTTTAATATAAACTGACGTTAAATGTGCTACTAATTTTAACGACAATTTTTGAAAAGACCATCGTTAAATATACATATTTAACGATTGTTTTAGCAAAAATTGTCGTTAAAAGTCTCTTAAAAAATTAATAAAAAAATAAACGAATACTTCAAGCGGACACCTGACCATTTTTATAAGTGTTAATTATATTTCATCAAAGAACAAAAATAACTTTTTACAAAAAATTCCATAAATTAATTCCTATATTTCATCTCCAATATACAAATAACAAAAATTTAATTGACACAAAATACTTAAATATAACCGAATTAGATATATGAATCCAAACAAAAAAGTTAAATACAAAAGAAAATAAAACAAACCTAACAAACTCTAAAAATCCTAAAGCTCTCGAATTCTAGTGGTCATATAATGACGACGACGAACTTGGAGAGAGAGGATTGTTAGAGTCATGAATTAATTCCTAAAACCTAATTGACGGTGGTGGTAATGAGCACGTTCATCTAGTCATGGAGACGACAAATGTGAAGATTGTTAGAGTGAGGAATGAGTAACAAAAAGAGAGGAGTTTAGAAGAAAAATATTAAGGTGTGAGAGGAGAAGGAATTAGAGAGAGAATAGGAAAGAGAAAAAGTGAGGAGGAGAGAGGGGGATTTGAGAGAAAAAAATTAGAGTTTGGAAGCGAGAGTGAGTGAAAAATAAAAGATAGTGCTCGAAATTATAAAAGAAAAAGAGAAAGTTTCGAAATTTAAAAAGAAAATGATGAGCGGGAAAAAGTCCACCTTTTTTTTCAAAAAGTTTTGATATCTAACTATGGTTTTTAAAGAACCGTTGTCTAATATATAACATATAACAACTTTTTTAAGAAACTATCATTAATGTTTACTTACGCGTAATCGGAATGAGCATAAATCGGAGTGGGCAGGATTCAGAGTGAGAATGATTCAGAGTGAGAAATCGGAGACAGAATAAGCTGTTTACTTAGTGATAAGATTCAGAATCGGAGTCATTCTAAATCTCATTTATACGTTTACTTACACCCAGAATTGGAATGAAAAAGTGTAAAGTACTAATATACCCTTTAAATCAATTTGATATTTTCAATTTAAAAAATATATTGTGTACTTATTATATTAAAATTAATCATAATTAAAATATTTAGTGTAATAATTGGATACTAAAATAATAAATATAAATTGTACAACTATTTAAAATATAAAAATAAATTTAAATAAAAATAAAAAATAGTGTTAAAAAATAAAATATATTATTAATTTATTAAAAAATAAAGTACATATTTATTATATTAAAGTTAACAATAATTATGCTAATATTATAATATTAGGCAAATAAAATAATAAATATATGTTGCATTTATTATTTTTTGAATTTTATTTGTAATTGTGTATTTATAAGTAAAATAAGGGTATAATAATAAATTAATATTAATATTAGGAATGAGAGTCACAATCCCATGGGGGGACATGGGAGTGCTAATCTCATTCCTCAATCCCAAATTTGAGTGGGGCCTACTAATCTCACTCCCATTACAGGATAAAAAAGAGCAAGTAAACATGAGATTGACTCATATTCCCCACTCTCATTCTTCAATCATGATAAGTAAACATGCTATAAATGTATCGAACAGTTTCACTCCATGTTTTTTTAGTACATTAGACAACATTTTTTTCCTAAAATGTCATTAATTAAGCGTCGTCTAATGTAGAGCTTGTTGTTGTAGTGTTAATAGTTGCAGAAATGGGGACGTAAATAAATCAAAATAAAATAAGTCTAGAAATGCAATTAGGGACATGAAAGCCAACATTATGACTCAAAAGTTTACTAATATCACTAGAAATAACAAAAATAACTTTCTACAAAAAATTCCATAAATTAATTCCTATATTTCATCTCCAATATACAAATAACAAAAATCTAAAATATAACTGAATTAGATATATGAATCCAAACAAAAAAGTTAAATACGAAAGAAAATAAAACAAACCTAACAAACTCTAAAAATCCTAAAGCTCTCGAATTCTAGTGGTCATATGATGACGACGACGAACTTAGAGAGAGAGGATTGTTAGAGTCATGAATTAATTCCTAAAACCTAACTGACGGTGGTGGTAATGAGCACGTTCATCTAGTCATGGAGACGACAAATGTGAGGATTGTTAGAGTGAGGAATGAGTAACAAAAAGAGAGGAGTTTAGAAGAAAAATATTAAGGTTTGAGAGGAGAAGGAATTAGAGAGAGAATGGGAAAGAGAAAAAGTGAGGAGGAGAGAGGGGGATTTGAGAGAAAAAAATTAGAGTTTGGAAGCGAGAGTGAGTGAAAAATAAAAGATAATGCTCGAAATTATAAAAGGAAAAGAGAAAGTTTCGAAATTTAAAAAGAAAATAATGAGCGGGAAAAAGTGCATTTTGTTTTTTTCAAAAAGTTTTGATATCTAACGACAGTTTTTAAAGAACCGTTGTCTAATATGTAACATATAACAACTATTTTTAAAAAACTATCATTAAATGTAACGAACAGTTTCACTCCATGTTTTTTTTAGTACATTAGACAATATTTTTTTCCTAAAATGTCATTAATTAAGCGTCGTCTAATGTAGAGCTTATTGTAGTGTTAATAGTTGCAGAAATGGGGACGTAAATAAATCAAAATAAAATAAGTCTAGAAATGCAATTAGGGACATGAAAGCCAACATTATGACTTAGAAGTTAACTAATATCACTAGAAAAATATGATATATCACACCAAGTTCAAATCTTCATTTCATCAAACTTTCTCACAATCTATTACACACGTCTTCTATACCTTGATCATGGGGCATTGGCCCTGACCCTAACTGCAACCTTTGCCCCGACCTGACTTCACCCGGTCCAGAACAATCCTAGCACTAGCCACAATCCCAAACTTAGACCCGATTTTTAGTACTTATAAAAAATATAGGGCCATTTGACATTAATGTGTTGTTGAAAATTTTTATTGTTGTTGTTCTGTTAGTTAAAAAGTTATTGTAACCATAAGCATGTAAGTGTTTAGTAATTTCTTTTCAAAAATGATGTTAATATCAAAAGTAGAAATCTAAGCATTTAGTAAACTATATATAAAGTTGTTGTGAAGATGTACCATAACTAAAATAGACATATTTTATCACATATATTTTTAGTGAGTTTTATTTATATCTTTAAGGTCAATATTCATAATATTTTTA